GACCTTACACTTTGTGGGTGCAAAGTGAATACCAAAGGACAGGATGACTTTGATCAGTTCATCCGAGAATACCTGCGCCTTCTCCTCCTCTTCGAACATGAGAACGATGTCGTTTGCATATTCCAGATCGACAAGGCTTTCTCCGCAGGCTATTTGAACACCAGGGTTTTGAAGACCCTCTAGCGTTTGTCTCATGATTTCATCGATCACAAAAAAAGGAATGGAGAGAGAGGGCACCCCTGACAGACACCGCTTTGTGCGCGGAAGCTTTTGGAGAGCTTTCCGTAAATTCTCACACCGATGCTTCGTTGCCGTACATTCATGATTTATTGGAGAGCCTTATTGTAAAGACAATAATAATGGTGGCCAGAGAGGAGACTTAGTGCTAGCTTACCACAATCATTCCGAGGTGTCTACCCCTCCAAACACTCACTCGGGCAATCTGGATAAAAAATGACAACAAGATCCCCGCTGACATCGATTGGCAGCCATATCTTGCAGCGTCCCCAAACAGGTGCAGTGAAGATAACACGGTCCCCATCCTGAAAGACGAGCAACATCAACTGCAGCCAAACGTTTAGTACTCTCCTACATACCCCTGTGCCAAGTCAATGGTGGACCACCTCTCTACTTCAGCCACTCAAAATCGGTCAAGAAAATCAACACTCTCTTCGGAAAAGCGTGGTTCAGCGTGCACAAGACAATTTATAGTGCTGGATGCATTCTTTCATACGAGTCTCCGTTGCACAACCATTTCCAACTGCCTTGTTACGGATTCACCGACACCAACTCACATGAGCTATATGGTTCTGAGACGTCGGATGTCCATAGCATTACCGATTCTCCCCACTTGTCTGATTTTCTTAAATGCAGGCATACCGATCAGACAAGCGCTGACTGAGGACTACACTCCCATCGTTGAACAGTGCGGGTGGGATGTCATTCCGACCAGAAGCTCGGAGGCACCTAAGAGAACATATGCAGTCATAAACATCCGAGGCCGTAGGAGATTTCAGATTCACCGTCCAGGGCTCTACGTCAGCTGTGGGCTTCAGGTGAGCGCCAGCTGGTGACTACGAAAGTTGTTGTTCGAAGTATTTAGCCCACCGGTCGAGGTGTTCTTCTCTATTCAAAATGGTCGCTCTATTCTGATCCTTGATGGTTTTGTTCACAAGCCGGACTTTCGGGGGAGCAGATAACTCGCTTTCCGAATCGATACTTGATTTCGACCGCTTCGTCGACATAGGAAGACCTGACTACACAGAACATCTAGACAACATCGCAACTTACTCGTAGTAGGCCGAGAAGTGCCCCCAAAGGTGTATGTAGAGAGAACGATCAGATGAGATTATCGACTGACCGGTTTGTATAGCGTTCCGATCACCCCAAAGTTAATTTATATCATTTTTCGAAACGGTGAACACTTTCATGGGAAGAAGTGGACCAGATTCGCTCAAGCATCACGTGACAAATCGCATTTATTCTTGGCTGAACGAATTTTAGTTTGGTTGCTTTGTTTATCTTGTGAATGGCCACCGAAATAGCACGAGTACCACAAAGATGCTGAGTAAATCCGTCCAGATTCGCTATTTGAATCTCGGTGACGTCATGTGACGTTACCGCAATCTCTTCGACATGCGACCAGATTCTTATTGGTCAGCGTAAGTTGTACCGTATGAAAAGTAATGACTGAAGAATAGCCATAAAGCATTTCGGGATGTAGTTTCCATCGGTATTCAAGTAATCCCCCAACAAGACGACAGAGTATGACTTAGAACTTAATTTGGTCATCGTAGAGGATCAAAAAGCAGGATCGTACAGGCAGATCTGCCCTTTAACCTCACTGGCGAATGAGTCTTGCGGGAACTGCTCATGGTTGTTGATCATCTGCCGCGAAGACATAACCTTCGGTATTTTTCTGATTGGTCCATCCACTGTCGTTCTGTGTACTTACTGCTTGTTACTTCAGGATGCAGACAGCATATGGCACAAACGGTTGGTTCTTTGGTTGTTTGAATCACATGGTGTCACTGTATCGTTGACTGACTGACTTCACAGTATTGCATGATCAAATTTTTAATCGTAAACAGTGGATTACTGAGGGAGAAACAGCGTGATGTAATCAGCAAACTACATGACGTGAGGTAGCTCCGATCCAGACCATTGTACCAGACACGCAGTAGGGCGATCGATATTCATAGGTAACTATTCAAATGATTATCCGATACCCCCAGGACAAATCTCACAATCAGAGAATGGCCCTATTAGTCGTAGAAAGTCGAGAAGCACCGTACAGCTGTTTTATCTAAAATGGAATTGTTCACTTCAAAAACCTCCAGGATGACACCATCCTTTCTCGGGAGAAGGCGGCATCTCTGCTTCCATTAATATGGACATGCCTGGGGAAAACACCTTAGTGCCTTCACACTCCTATCGCAGAGGACAGTACGACTTTACCCCCCAGACCGCCTCGTATCGCGATTACTTGTAGTACGGGGTCTTGCTGGTCTTGGTCTGACCGTTCCCTCTCTGTCCTTCCTGGCATAGCTGTACCTTGTGGAACGAAGTTCCAGCCAGTGTAGCCCGCGGGATCATTGCAGCACTCAAGCCCAACCATCAAATCCACCTTTAGGCCTGGATTATCAGTGTGTGATTAGCTTGTGTTTAGACAGTTAATTGCACTGCTGATCAACCACCCGTCGCTAATAGACTCGCTAGAGTTCCGTGAGAGGTACACTGTTTAGGATTGCCAATACGGACGAAGCAGTCAGACGCCGCTTCTCAGCTTTCTGGCACAGACTTACGAAAAGAACCTCAATTGAAAGTGGTGTACATATCACAAATTCTGATAGTATTCTAATGATACATTGAGTTAGTACACTAATATGGTGAACGTGCCTAATAAAACCTACAACAAAACAAAGACATTGTTACCGGACCACTCTTAGTTTGCGGGACATCTCAATAGTTAAGGCTAGAAAAGCTCCAACAGGGAGCCGCTGACGAACAGGTTCACACCTATGCAAGAACTCTAGACGCATATTCCACTTCGCCGTCGGCTATCTGTCCACTGAGGAAGAGCTCAACTATCATGGCTGTTTAAAACTGTGTCAGGTGGTGATAACGATATGCATGGTTTGGTATTGTTGAGCAATACGCTAGTTTATGGCTGCTGTTTAGATGTAACACACTACTCATAAAATTGCCGAAAACCCTTCGACTGCCCACGACCGGTTTCGCCTTTCTCGGATCTCTTCGGATAGACGCAGTCCCTGAGTTTCCGTTTACCGAGTGTTCTGATGGAACCTGAACTGGACGGACAGATTTCGACAAGTCTATCATTTATGATGTTCTGCTTCAAATGGCTGCACCAGGCCATGTTTCGGTTGGTACGATATTCGAGAAATCGCATAATGTTCTGTGTCACAGAAGCCCCCAGCAGCCGAAGTTTAGTGTCGTTGAGGATCACGATGGGAAACGTTGGTCACGTGCCCTCTTGGTGCATCAATCTAGGAGGACCGGAAACCCGAACATTTGGAGTAAAAATTGCCCGTTGAGGACACCTTTGGTGCTCCTTAACGGAAGTTGGTTGACTGGTCCAACACAACTAATCAACTACAAGCACAATTTCAGGAGCCCGACTGGGGATTTGTATATCTTGAGCAGTGTCATATTTGGTGAGGCTACCGTTAATTTATTCCATTAGGATCTCCCCAAACCATCTACTCTCAGTGTTTTCTTTTTCGAACAGAAGTCTTAACCACACGTGGAATATTTTCTGCTAAATTAGTCCTACGAGAACCAACTGATTTCAAAAACGCACCATGACCGTGCCGATTATTACAGCTGTTAGAATTTGGATTCATTCCTAGAAGCCTGGCGAGATGCCTTTATGTGTATCAATTTGCTCATCATCCTGAAGATCATTGACAATATGACATCAGCGTTCAACACCGATGGTGCATAAATCCGGCACTGTCAGTAGGCCATCAAGTGGGGGAGCTATGCATTGAAGGCGACAGCATGGATGCACGAGCGCCATTGAGGACGCGACTTGGCCATGTCTGACAATGTCTCTAACCACTGATGTGGCCCGTCTCGGGGCCCCCATCCAGGAAGACGGCAATGACCAGCGCAGCTAAGTTTGCTGGTAATGGCTTTTATACTTCACTGCCAAGTCAGTGGTCGCTTCTGGCTGGTTTCCACCCCTCACATGGTTGTGAGAAAAGAGCCGTTCAAGGAATTCGGTCGTTGGCATATGGCAGCACGTGGCCAAGTCAGCGCAACCAATGCAGTGTGATCAGTGCATCTATCGAGAGTGAGTTATTTCTCCCGAATACCATTCGGCATACTTCAGCATTGCTGCTCCGGTGTTCCCACCAGATTCGGGCAATGCTCTGAAGACGTCAATGGTCAAACACGAAACTGCGGCAGCTACAACCACTGTACGACGAGTACGCAGTTATTACAGCTGACAATGATGAATGCCCACCATATCAAACCAAAAGTGTGCAGTTGTCATAGCAACATTCAAGCCAAAATTTTCTTACCTCGTTTGAAACCGCAGGTGAAGCGGCAATAATTATCGTTGTCTTGGAGTTACCTCCCAGAGATTGTTGTAATATTCTTGTCAACTTTGAATCGCGATAGGGAACATGAGTCTGAGAACGCAGTTAAACACAATTTATTGATTCAGTAAAAATATTGGATAAAAAAGCATCGTCTAAAACACTCCAGTAACATCAGAAGGATGAAAGGAGGTCACGGATTTGGAGACGGTCACCAAGTCATTCTTTTTTCGCATTGATATGGATTATAAACCTTTTTATTCTTACTACGTCATGGTTTTTCCAAGTATCTCCTAGTTACCACAAACAGAATGATTACTTTTACCTGTATCAGTAGTAAAAATTTAATGCACGATTTCTTCGTCTTAAACTGTCTTTAAATAAATAGTCACCATCTCTCTAGGGTCTACTCTAACCTATCTTCCTGAGTACTTCCTGAGTAACTGAGTCTGGGCACCAGAATAATTCTATGTTAGTGCCGATAACCGACCACTTCCATTTGCTAACGGGAAGATCGCGGGTCCAGATCTCCCCAGAGGTTCTGCGATCTGCACTACTGAGCACTCCCAAAAAAGGACAAAAGACCATAACAAACAATTAGTCAAGTATTATGTCGCGATTTTTCGGCCTCACCATTTAGCATTCTACGCAAACAGGTGACCAGATAGTAAAAGGGTCATTTTTGATGGCTGTTAACTTCCATTCCTCGACCGCCAGTTATTTGGTGAGTGACTGACCTAGTGTCTAGCAGTCCTAGCGGCTAACATTCCGTCGTTCGTTTTGGACTCTAATAATAGATTGATCCTTTCGAAAACCGATAAGTTCATTTTTCAACACGCAACAAGTAGATCCTCTGAGCTGACAAATCGCCGACTGTTTACGGAGATTCGACAGTATTTTCAATGCTCTCCTAGTCTTTCCTACTCTTCTCTGTATACTCCAAGATCAACGTTGACCCGTGTTCCTCGGTTTCAGGTCTGTTTCTCGTCAAAGATAGCATCACAGGTGCTGGGAGTGCACCACCATCATTACTTCTTCAAGCGAGCACAAAATGCGTAAGCGATCATATATTCTGCAACATTTTCCACCTGGAAGATGAATCATATCGCCCATGCCACTCACTTTCCGCAATCCCTTCTATACACAATTCACACTGCTCATCATCATCATCATCATCATCATCATC